TTATTTTACAGTTTTTTGGGTGCGCATATGTATGTTGGTCCAACCTGCAATCTTTAAGAGCCACATGTCCACTTGGCTCAACTGTTCGACTGAATGTTGAGATCACTGAGTGTTTGGATCACATGTTGTTTAACACAGTTTACTGAGAGTTTTCACCACTCAAAACAAACAAACTCCATCTTCCACTCCAGTTTTTTTTATAAATAATCCTAATTAATTCATACCTGGGACACAAAGACCTTAAAGACCCTTAATAAATTCACAACCTGTCAGATTAAACTCCTCTTCAAAATTCCAGCGCTCTACACATAAGCTGATGGAGAAAAACAACATGTTTTTTCTGAGTGCATGGAGTGACTGGAGTAGGCCTCACACAAACTTTTTAGGGACAAGCAGCAGGCTATAGAGCAAACTATAGAACAACACCAGCAAGAGTTCTAACATAAGCAGACTGTGTAACTATGATGGAACTCAACTAGATATGTCACATGGTTAAAGCATGGTTAAAGTGTGGAGAAAAAAAGATACAAAGATCTTGAAATGTGTGGTAATGATCTTAATTCTAGCACATTTTGAGTAATCAAAACTAGAACTAAGTAGCTATGTAACTATTATTCATTTATTTGCAGTTGCATGGGAGAAAAATGGTAGTATTCATATATATTGCTAGACAACACTGCCATCTGCTGGTCAAAAGTGTAATTAAACATGTATAGTCTAACTTTTAATTGGACTATACATAGTTTAAAAGCACAACAGATATGAACCTATGCAGAAGTATCATATTTTATAACATTAATCTACTTTACGAGTTTGACATCTCCTGTGTACAATATTTCACTGTGATAAATCACGTGTAAAGATGTGTCTCATTTATTGGTGTCCTTTTTGCTGGTCACTAAATCATAAAGCAGGAAATGGTAGCTCCAGCACTAACACCTAAAGCGTTTGACTAATGCAATAATCATATTCATCCAACATATAATGACAAAACACTACATGGAAGTTTGTTTTAAATCTCATATAATTCTTTATTTCGAAGTCTTTGTCTGTCTGGAACACACACTCCCATTGTACAGGAACATTACAGTTGAACACTATTGACTCAGAACAGACAGATTAAGAAGACACACTCCTTTAGCTTAAGCCAGTGTTGGGTCTAAAGTCCTGCCTGTTTCCACACACCACCACACGCTCACAGGGCTGCAGGATTCATCACATGGAAATCAAATGTAATCTTAATGAGCCAATCACAACTTTGCAAACAACACCATATCCTGTTTTATTACTCATAAAGGTTCAACATAACAGTACATTGATTTACAACACGTTACTGTATGAACATATAGAGTATTTATAATAATAATAATAATGCATTGGTTTCATACAGCGCTTTTCTGGACATTATTCTTTCGCTCCATTTATGGTGGTGATAAACTACTGCTTTAGCCACAGCTACAGTGAGGCTGGTCCTCTTTCTCTTTAATCTGTCTGATGAAGCTTATCTGTAGGGGAAAAATATAGGCAAATGAAAATTAGGTACCCCAGCTTTAGATGAATCTAAAGACAGCAGGACATAGTTTACATCACTGTGTAGGGAGTGAATGAGGCCATTTTAGGCGTCTTCGAGTGAACAGAAAAACTCAATATGAAACCAATGCATTTTAATTATTGTAATATTATAATGCTAGGCCAACAAAAATAAATCACACTTTGAAATGTTGCCAAAATCGTGCAGCCCTAGTACATTGTGCCATTTTTTTCTCTCATCCTCTGCTCCATCACCACAGAACGTTAGTCCATGCATACATAGGTTTAGTGTACTGTTTGTGTATATATGGTAAAAAATATATAGCCTTTTAGAATAAATACATCATAGAATTATTTTAGAGCAAGACAATACTCATATATATAATTTCACAATACGATATGTACAGTATTTGGCTGCATTTACAACAGGTAAGAGTATACAGTAGCTTTAAAGGGGACATACTATGCAAAATAAACAGATTACAGTACACCTGTAACAAATTCAGTTCTATAATCACATGGATTTAGATGAATGTTAGCCTGGCCTTACCATACCATCATACTAATTTCATTTCATACTTACGTCTGGATTTGCTCCAATGAGTTTTGTTAACAGATGGGAGGGGTTAAATCCTTTTGCAGATTGTAACAATTTGATCTGAGTTTGCTGTGACGTATGTAATGCTTCCGAGTGAGTGAGGCATTCAGCATTTAGCCTAGCTTTAGCATTTAGCCTAGCTTTAGCATTTAGCCTAGCTTTAGCCAACTCCTTTGTCCCTAACGGAGCCCGTGGGGAGTAGAGCCACAACATCTTTTTCCAGCAATGAAATTTGCTAGATATTTGGAGCCGAAAGCAGAACGGATTACTTTACTATCGCCTTTGCCGCCATCGCCAAACTACAATCAGCAGATTTGGCGCTGGTGTTTATGGATAGCTAAGGCCAGGCTAGATCAATGTAGTTGATGTTGTAAATGGACTTACATATATATGGTATATATTCAAATAGTTAGTTAGTTAGTAGGGGGGGGGGGGGAGCATAACATGTCCCCTTTAACCCAAATGTGACTGGATTTCAGGTCTTTGGTCCAGGATCTTCAATCTCTGGGTCACACTGCATTTCACAAATGTAGATGTTATTTATAAGACCTTATTTTACAGGCACCCTGTACGCACACTCTACACATCATGAGGCTGTCCGAGAGATTAGTCCTGTCCACACAGTCGCCGGACTGAGACAAATAGTGTGCAATTGTTTTGAGACTTTTCTGCTGTGTAGTGTGACTTTGTGTAGAAGAATTTGATAGTTGTGGACTCTTCTGTAGCCGCTGAAGTGCAGTCGGTCCATAAACTTGTGTTAATATTAGCACCATATTAATAAATGAGCACAGAGGAGAGGGCTGAAGTGTCAGTGGTCATCTAATAATAAAACCAGGTTGTTCTAGAATCACACTACCGACGAAAACTTGTCTTCCTCTTGAATGTTTCACAATAGCTACTTTAACTTTATTTTCTAATTTCCACGACAAGCGCATGACTCCACTAAACTTTAGAATGAACTGTGATCGATTGAATAAATAAATGATCGAAATTGTTAATGTGATTTTGAGAAACATTCAGTTAGAGTGGCATTCTCAAAATTTTTACCCAACACTACTTAATGTCTGTGTTACAGATACAAAACAGTTCAACCTGGATACTAAATGTGGCAGTTAGCATTGTAACTTCATATATATCGTAACGTGGTTCAAATCCTCGTCTGTGTCACTTCAGGTCGCAATGTAAACATATTTTAGTACTATTTAACAATTTGCAGTAAACAGGAAATCAGACCAAAGTCCCAAAACACCATTATCGCTTGTGTATTTGCTGTAGGCATGTTAGGCATCAGTTTAAGGCTTAAATAAAGTGAAATAACACAACTCAACCTGCCTGGATCTCAACTGACAAGGTAGTATTCGATTTCATATTGCTTTTTTTTTCTTCCACAATCGCCTCATTGCTTTCAGTTTCCACCCTGACAGTTACTTATACCTCAAGATAAACGTAGAATAGACATCTGATAGTGATTTAATGCATCTTTTTAGACAAAATATCCTCCCTGCCTCTGTGTTAGTCTCATGCCTTTAGTTCATCTTGCTACATTGTATTGGAATGTATCACACAGGCAGCCTGACATTCGTTGTGCATTTGTAGCAGTTGCATACATGATTGGGTTTGAACAAGCAGGCGGCAAGACGTACATCTGAAGTGGAATCTAATGCTATATGTGATGGTGAATGCAGAGACAGTATTAGAACATACTGCGTCAGTACTACAAGGTGACCAGCAGGGGGAGTAACCGGGGATTGGCATGCAGCCGTTCATTCACCAAACATACCATAATATAATATCTGCCTTCAGAAGACACTACCGCCTTCAAAAGACCAGTTTGTGCTATTGTTGTTCACGTATATATTTATATAAAAATCATTCTTTGTTTAAACGTTACCATCTTTTTTATGTTTTGTTATTATGTATAATTAGATGACAGTCTTGCTCTGGAACAGCAAAGAAAATACTGACTATTATCACTTCTAGTTCAGGTGCATTTTTAAAGCTCCAGTAAAAGCACAGATTTATATAGAGAAAAAAACGAATGGGATAATAATCTTGCATTATTCAAAATGAGATTTATCTTAGTATATGCTGTTCCAACTGTTCTATTGGAAAATCGATTGTATTGTATATTATTCGAAACATAATTTAAAATGTCTTCATTACATTGTCTGATCTGTACCGACCTTAGCTGTAAAACCTTTTGCTTAATACTTAAAAAAAAATTCCATTTCGTTTTTTATTTATTCATTTAGAATTGCGTATATTGCTATGGTACAACTAGAACGGAAATGAGAGTTTGAGGTTTTTCTGTCTTATCCCAAAACATTTGCAGAGCAGAGACTTGTATATTTAACAATGGATTTATCTGGATATACAGTAATGTACATTTTAAGATTGATGCCTAGAAATAATAAACTCTTTTTAAATTATTTCTCATTGATATAGAGCCATGGTCACCCATATGACCCATGTATGTTGTTATTCTCATTATTTACACAAACGTAATACAAAAGTGAAATAGAAAATACATTTGTGTGTATATGGTTATAATCTGAACCCATTTGAAATATACTACTATTTAACGATGGCTTATGTTAGATACAAAAAGAATGATACTGAATTGGTTAAAGAAAATATAAATTATATAATATTTCATTTTTCCAAAGGTAGATCATGTGCTTGGTTTGAAGAGCTGGATGAGAAAGCAGCAGTTTCTTCCATTTGTGACGGAGCTGTCGATCAGAAAGCTCCAATCAATGCAGCATATGTTCAATATTGAATTGAATGGAAGAAAAAAAGTACTGTTACATTATGTCAAGTCCCAGATAGTGTACCAAATACGCCCCTTTGTAGATTCCACGACACATCGGGTTCAGAGAAGGCCCGGAGTCGACTTTTTGTAAGATTTTAAAATGTCGATGATGTCTTTGTGTGAGGCTCCTTCTGCAACACTCATGGCAGTCTGTCCGTTCTGTAAAGACAAAGAAAGACAATAACAATTGAACTAGTTGTGTGTGAGAAATGTATGTGTCATCTTTGAACATATTGTGACAGTTGTAAAAGGGGTTTGGCAGTGTACGTCTCAACTTCAGCCTACACCTCTTTCGGTCAGGCAGTATTTACCACTAAAATTCTTGACCCTTTAATGGTTTCCCCAACCGTCTGAGTCTCTGTATCTACTTTACACTTGGAACTGAAATGTACCTCTTTGGGGCAACTCACTTGGTTTTTGGTCTTTTACCATCAAACTGCATCTCAACCATTTGGTAAAGGCCAACAAAAAGAAAGAAAACAAACTAGGGGTTAAAAAAAAGTTTGTCATTAGTGCTCCTACATCTCCTAAAAAAAAATACATTGCTTTCTTCAAGGAATATACACCTTTTTTTAATTGTAAAATGTATACAATCTTTGAAAACATGTGACCTGAGATCTAATGTACACAATGGCCAAAGAAATAAACTACTACTACTAGTAGCTGTCACTGTAAGTAGAATTTTAGGGTACTTTTTAAACTGTGTTAAAAAGTACTTTTGTTTATCACTAGAATTTGAACAATGAAACAAAAGATAAATAATCAAATTGGATCAAAAATTTCTGTTTGGTGGAAAAATCCTAATTTTCTTTCCAGAATTATTACAGTTTTCACAACAGAAAGAGCCTTGTAATTGGAAAATATTGGAAACAAATCAGACCACAACATTGTGTCTTCATCTTAGTAGAACTCATAATATATTTTGCATCCTGCGGGCCTTTATTGATCACTTTTATGTGAAACCGAAATTACAGGCATTTGGAACCTAAGAAGTAAACTATTTGAGAGCCAGGATTTCATTACATTGCTAGATTTTGAACCATTTGAAAGTTAGGTAAACCACTTTTAAAAGAGGTATAGTTGGTGGTTTAATAGTTGTAATTGTAATTGATTGAAATACTTTGTTGTTTGTGTACTACTAATAAATATAAAAGATTGTCACACACCAGTCCAAGACAGTTAAAACAGCCCTAATATATAAAATGAGTTTATATGTATACTAGTTTAATTTGGTTATTATACCAAATTGGTAGTTATACCACGACATGCAGTGACTATTGTTTGCCTGAAGGTGGCAGTGTTGTGTTAAAATCAGGTTCTGTGACTGCTGCAGCTGCATTTTCACAACATTGTGACGATTTGGATACAAACACTAACCCTAGAAGTATAAAAGCCCCAGAAAGAATACGTTATCTGCGTTACTCAGTGAATATTTAGAGGTACAATGTATGTCTGTCGTCCGCTGCCATCTTGAATACGTTCTTGCATTGCTTGGAACATACTTTGCATTTTAATCAATTAGGAGCTATTATTCAACACAACAAAGAAATGGTGGTGGTTTATCCTGCTCGTTTAAATGGTCATTTTCACATAAAATTAGCAAAGCAATGGATATTGTAATCACTGCAAAATCCTGGAGTAAAATCAGAAATGCAGCACAATTTATGAGCTGCATTAAATATGAACTCTTTGTGCCACACCAACTCTAAACTAAATTGAAAACGTGTACGTGTACAATCTTAGCTGTCATAAATACATGAGAAATATGGCAGCATCACATACATTATATTGTGACATAAAACAACATGGGATGGTCCTAATAGATATTCAGACACAGACATGTATTGAAGATATAAAAAGGCCATTTAGCACATAATTAATGCCTTCGGGGCGTAATTCCCATAAGCGTCATGCAGTGTACTCGCCAATAGGACCAGGATAACACATAAGTAGATGGAATTCAAAAACTGTCTGTAGGTGGCACTGTTCCATTCATAGTTGTGTTGCATATTGTTGTGTTCAGGGTCATACGCCCCCAGTGGTCAGGTGTGGGACTTACAACTGTTGCATAATGTAATGTGGGACTAGTACGAATCCAAAAATGAAAAGTCAAAATTGGTGGCAAAAGTTAAGACCATCATAACCGACTTCCTGTTGGTCCCAGAGCGAGACTCCATGAGAGTTTTAGGCTCGTCTCATAGAGATCAATCATTTACCTACTCTAAAATATGCATGTCTGGCTCCCATAGGATTTGCCAATTTGAAATTTCCATGGGTCGATATAGAGACGGCATGAGTCGGACAATCTCAAAATGTTCATTTTATGAAATTTTATATGTGCCAACATGTGTGCATGTCTTCAGGGTCAAAAATAAAATCCTTTCAGCGGAAAAAAAACCCTCAATATTTGAAAAAAGACGAGCATAAACGATCCCAGACATTTATTAACATTTACAGACATCGGTCATCTGCCCCCTACGGACCAATGACTCCAATGTGTTTGTTATTATTGCATTTCCTGTGTTCCAACAGTTTGATTCTCATATCTGGTGTTGGTGAATTGAAAATTGAATTGGATTGAATTATGAAACCCAAACTAAGTTACAACTCACAGTAAAAAAAAGAAATAACTGTTTAAGTTATAAAACAAGTTAATGCAAAGTTACAAGACATGTAGTGGATCTCTAAGACCAATATGTAAGACTAACCAATTGAATATTCAAAAGACTGTTTTTAGCCTTCAGCATAAAAGCCATTTAGTTCCACAATCCACACAATTAATCAAGCTGAAAAATCATATTAGTTTTGAAATTCTAATCCGATGTGTGTGTGCAACATCACAATAAACAAAGTGCCCTGATAATGATTCCCATGTTCCTCTTCACTATAGATGCTGGGCTAGACGCTGAACACCGGTTAAGGCCCACATGTGGCAGTTCATTTACCCAGCTGAATTCACACGCAACATGCAACAACCGTGTTACCAACTTCCTGCCTCCTTCCCGCCGGGCGCCATGCTGTTTCTAATTTGTTCCCTTTGTAAACACCATACATTACATCTTACTACAGTAGACAGACACTACCCTGAGCTGGCAAAACCTGGCCTCCTGGGTGCGCAGTTGCCTCGCAAGGGCTGGGATACAATACGCTTTTATTTACACATGTCATTTCCTCCACAACTTTTGACTCAGTCCCAGTAAAAGTAAAAATATTGTCGTCATGGAGAGGTTAAGTAAATGGAAAATGTGTGCAGAAAAATGCTGTGGTTTCCGATAGATGAGAGAGCAGTCAAAAACAATAGACTGCGCTGAACTGGATCCCAGCCAAAGTTTGCTAGAACAAGCTGACATCATCTATTGAAGCTAAGTTTACATTGTTTATATAGTCCCGACAATGCTTTTCCCAACTTCTCCCCATGACCTTGCATCTAAGTAAAACTGTCACTGGGGCAAAAGCAACAACAATAACGTCTCAGTAGTATCTCAAAGGACACAGGATGTATTATAATAAATCTACTTGAATCATATTACAACATTGTTCCTTCCACAAAAAAACATACTTAGGGTTTTGTTTAGCTCCAGGGTATTTTCGGAACAAACTTGTCCACTCTACTCTCAACGCTCTGTTTCAACTCATTTCAATCCAATTAAATGTATTCTTGTATAGCCCTAAATCACAACAGTAGTAATCTCGGAGGACTTTACAAAACTGTTACATTTTCCAACACAAATCAGAGAATGAAACAATTCAAACACTAGAAATACTAAGATGAAAAACACATAGAGACCAATGTCCATAATGTTGATAAATGTCCATAAATGTTGTTGAATGTTATTGAATGCTGAATTACTCGTTTTAACAACCTAAACCTATCCTCTTCAAATTAGTTCTGCTTTACATTTTTGTGCTCACAACATGGACTTTTACTTCAAGTTTAATGAATCCCCTTTCACAACAACACAGTACAGCTACTTTTACAGTTACAAGTTCTCAAATAACACTCCAAAATAAATCATATTAATAATCTTTAAATGTACATCACTTTTGTCATAAATAATACATTTTGTGTGTACCAACTCCCACTGATGACTGCTGTCGTTGTGTCCTTGGGGAAGACACCTAACCCCACTTTGCCCAAAGCCCCCACTGAAAGATCTCAGCTCCTGTGGACTCACCACCTGCAGGAGGATCAGTGAGGGGCTGGTGCTATGTGTACTGGGTGCAGCTCTGACTGCCACCCCCCCGACCCAGAAATGGATTAAGGGGAAGAAAATGGATGGATGGATGGTGTGTACCAAAAGAAACATTCTTGTAAAAGTAACATTTTGTGCCCCACGAGCCCCATTCATTTAACAAGTGCATTCAAAAGTCCACAGCAGCTAAACTAGGCTGGTCCAAAAAAATTTACTCAGCATTGACACACATCTGGAACGTAGCGTTGAGCCAAGAGCCAACTTTTGGTTTTCGAGAGGAAGAAAGGCGGCGTAAGAATTCATTGGATAATTCTGTCTCCAGGTACACCCCCACCGGCAAGGAGTCATATTACAAGCGTGTAAGCGCACATGCTCACGGACCTATTTGAGCCGGGACCCGCCCCCTGGTTTCAACCAATTAGGTCAGGGAAGACAATGACTTAGAATTTAGTTGGATGGGTACATTTTACATATACCGTCCCATGTTTTGTGTTTTAAAATGGATCTTTGTTCTCGTGGCTCAGACAACAGTAAAAGTTTCTCCTCCCCAGACTTAAACAGACCTAAATAGTGTGTCAGCTGTCTGTACCTTATCAGCCAGGCTCATGTCACACTGGCCGCTCTCCAGCAGCAGGCGTGTGATGTGCGTGTGTCCGTGTTCGCATGCGCACATCAGGGCCGTGGAGCCTTCTCGGTCCTGGCCGTTTACATCCGCTCCACAGCTAAGGAGCAGCTTAACCATGGCAACGCGGCCATGGCTCACCGCGAGCATCAGCGCCGTCTGGCCGGCCTGCGGGAGCCACAAGTACAGGGGGGGTAATGAGGACATGAAATAGAACGGCGAGAAGAAGAGAGAGTGAAGTGAGGAAGAAGGCACCGCTGAATATGTAATACATTCAAGGAAAAAGTGTATTCTCATGATTAATACATGACAAAAAATAAGTTTAAATTAGCTTCTATTTAACATGACATCATTTATATAACTCATTCAATTGAATGCTTTTAAGTCCAGTTTGAGAGCATACTGTATAAGATATCCTCATTGAAATGTAAGTGTTTCTTTAATCTGTAATTCTAGGTAACTGTGTGTAACTTTTGCTGCCTCTGGTGTAGGACATTGAAAAAGAGATTCTTAATCTCAATGGGACTTTCCTGGTTAAATATAGGTTGAATAAATAAACAATGTATGCGTCAGTCATACAGATTTGTCAATGAGAGTCAATGGATTTTTTAATTTATTTTTTAAAGTGAAGCAATTCTGACAAAACGGCAGCTATATATATATATATATATATATATATATATTGAATACCAGGGGCAGTCATTGCAAAGTAACGGTCCAACTGTTAGATTATTGCTTTTGTAAGGGTGTGTATGCCATTGTAAGCACATTCAAATTAAAGGAAGAAATCCAAGGCACATGAATGTAGGTTCTTTAATATAGAAACAGGGACAAGCCGGCATTGGACCTTCTTCAGGGCTTGCAAAATCACAGGGTGCGTTTAAATACTCCAGGCAACTGATAATTGTGATGATAAATAATTCATAAGCTAAAAATATATGATCTGTGAGGCTGATCTGCAAAAACTCATTATTCAGATCCTGCACTCGCTCCATCCAAACATCCTCTTTAAAATGGCTTCCACAATAGATGACGTTGCTGATTATAAAAGGAGCTGACTGTCAGTTTGACTACGAAGTGGCATCTTGCAATTTCTGCAAACACAACCTTCTCTTATGCACCCTCCCGCCTCCTTTGTTTTCCCCCTTATGTTAAACAAAAGCAGGTGGGTTAAGTACCGGTACCTGACGAGAGCGTGCATTGACGTCACCCATCTTTAGCAGTTGTTCAGCCACCTCCAGATCGTCCGGACTCTCAGCAGCTGTGAGCGCAGCCAGCATCACCGGAGTGTAGCCCGCCTTGTTCACGTTATCGGTCTCACAAAGGCCTAAACACAGAGAGAAAAAAACAAATCACATAATATTGATTAGAGGTGAGATTGTAATTATACTGGCAGCTATCACAAATGGTTGACCAGAGCCACCACTAAAAGAATTTCTGACATTTCACCTAAGTACATCCTAAAACAAGACACACAAGAAACAAGGTCTTTACACATTTACTGCATCAATTACTCATTCGGAGTCTTTAAATCATGTCTGTCCACACATTCATGCTTTGTAGTGCATATATTTGGTTTATTGTAGTTTTAGAACAGATTTTAGAACTGTAGTTGACGATTATTGAAAACAATCAATAAGTTGTGATTAATTTCTGCAGCACTAGTTGTACAATATTGTTTTATTGTTTTCATTTTCATTATTTTTTGTTTGTTTGTTAGTTAGCAACATAACTCAGAGGGGTTATGGCCAGATTTTTACAGATCATCAGTAAATCTCAGAAATCGGACAAAGAACAAATGATTTGATTTTCATCTTTAAAATCCGGGAGGAGGCCCCGGGGAAGACCTAGGACACGCTGGAGGGACTATGTCTCTCAGCTGGCCTGGGAACGCCTTGAGGTCCCCCCGGACGAGCTGGAGGAAGTGTGTGTGGATAGGAAAGTCTGGGCGTCTCTGTTTAGACTGCTGCCCCTGCGACCCGGCAACGGATAAAGCGGAAGAAAATGGATGAATGGATGGAACTTTAAAATCCTCCCCTTTTTTTACCTGTGCAGTTTTGGTCCGATATGTTCATAATGAAACTATCAAAGTAATATTCGCAGCACACCCCATATGCCTCGCTCACACTGCACACCAGAGACCGTGGCCTTGGTCTGTGACTCACACCAGCTGCTGTGGTGCGGTGGACTCAGGCAGCTCGCGAGAACACCTATTGTGACTGTAGTTAAACAATTCAACAGGGAAAGATGTGCAAAGAGGAGCGCTGTGCTGCCAAATATACCTTCCAATGGAAAGGAGCCAGAGCGTTCCCATCCGTTGGCACCTTTGAACTGTGTGGATCGCAGAGTGAGACCCCTTTGAGACGGAAAGACAGCTCTGCACTGCACCGTAGTCAGTGACAACAAGGGGTTATAAACATCTCATCGATGCTTGAGCCGACCAACGGTGAAGTGTGAGTTCACAATTTATCTTAATCTTAGAATTAACCGTGTTCTGATTTCACATGAAATCTATGAAAGGTCTATGAAACCCTGTGAGGTGTCTGTTGCAGTGGGTTTACACACTTCGGTAATAACAGAATACTAACCCTAACCCTTTGAAAATCATTTGCTAAATAAAGCGTTTATTTCACATGATAATTTGGTATTTGTGGAGCGACAGGTTGTGTCAAAATAGCAGGTGTGTTAACTGCTGCTAGGCGCTCTATCGACCTGTCTGGCATTTTAAACTATCATAATAAACTCAGAGTGATTCTTAAAAAGGTTAGTCCATGATGGGATGAAAACAAGCCACAAACCAAGTTCTAAAGGACACATTCTCCATTGATTCACTAAATAGGTTAGTTTTAAATTGAGCTGGAGGACAGGACACATTATGTCTAGAAATTTAACCATGGACTATAGAGAGGAGTAGCCAAAGCTCCCGGTCGTGCGGCTCCATGGAGTCTGGCTCACATTCATTTTTCATCAATAATTTTAATTGCTGCCCTTGCTGCAAGGACAGCATCATTCTGGTCGTAACATTGTGTTTGTGAATCAAAAGATACGCAAGAATAATTGGCCACCAAGCACTTTCTTCAGTTCCAGAAGTCTCCTGAAGCTGGAGTTGATTGCTAAGGCCCACATTTTACACATGCAATAATCTTCACTAGTTTGATGCATATTCTTCAACCATTATATAAAGCAGAGGTATCAAACTCAATTTGTTCAGAGAGAAGATTTGATAAAAGTCTAAACATATGTATTTTTTAGAATTCAGTTGGATTGTTTGAATTGAAACTGGAGAAAATTTAAAGAAGAGATGTAATTGTATTTTTTTATTTTCAATGTAACTATTTAACTTGTGTTTCAGAATAACTTAAATTATGTAGTTGTTCTCCTGATAATCTTAGGTTTAAAATGATGTACAACATGGCATAGTAGCTCAGTACCATCAAATTAATAACAATAAAAATATAATAATAATAATAATGCATAATTTCACACATATATACAACATATATGAAATAAATTAAACATTTCTCACTAATAGTATGTATTCTGTCATGTCTAAAGGTTTGTGAAGGGAATATACATAATCCTAGTTTGTTCTACCAAATCATTCTCACTGTATCCTATGAAATGACATGAGAAAACCATTCTGTACAGTTATTATCAATATGACCATAACTGTAACTGGAGTCTGACCTGTGTCGAGCAGCAGTTTGACCACGGAGAAGTTTGAGTGTGAGACGCTGTAGTGCAGAGCCATGTTGCCGTTCCCGTCGGTCAGATTAACCACATAGGGCAGCAGGGTGGGCGTGGTCATCCCAACTTGTCTCAGGTACAGTCTGACCGTGTCCACGCTGGAGTCTTTCTGACTGGAGACACGGAACCACTCCTGGTAGAGCACCATCAACACCTGCCGCTACCATGGCAACACACAAGCAAGAACAACGCATTGGTTGGAGGTACATTAGTGAAATGTGAAAAAAGAGCAACAATAACAGAACAGAACAATAACGATAATATTAAGAATCAGAATCATAATTATAATACATTTTATTTAGACCTCAAAATGATAACAGTCAATTTTCCTCATGAAAGGGAATAATCCACATGGCGCTCTTCATTTTTAAATACATGAAAATATACATTAAAACGGGGGGAATTCAAGTACTTTATGTATTTATGTTTTGCAGAAGAATTCTGATCTGGGACATTTAAGGGTATTTATTAACATTTATGGACATTGGTCATCCTATGGCTCCCTAAGGACCACACTACTGTATGTGTTTGTTATCATTAGATTTCCTACGTTCGAACTGTTTTGATTTTCTGATTTGTTGGCAAATCGAAAACTTTGTAAAGTCCTCCAAGACGACTGCTAGTGTGATTTAGGACAATACAGTACATTCAATTGAATTGAATTCCAAATGTTACTGTGTAATTTGGAATTTTACAAAAAAGATAATCTGAATTGTGCAAAGAACGACAAGAAAAAATAAGCTGAAATGTAGTGTGGACAAAGATGGGGTGTGATGTAGGAAGGACCCCATAACAAATTGGGACAATACATGACCATGGCGTGGGTATGTACTCTCCGACGCATTCTAGTCTTCAAATTGAAATTGATTTCTCAGTTGTTCTTTTAAAGAATAAATCACATTCATAATACAATAGTGAAGCAATTCTCTTTTAGTTTAGACTGTGATGGGCATTTTAGGAACAATGTGCTTGTGTATTTGATTCATTTTTATAAAATGTGTATAGTGTGTTATGATATTGAGGTGATAAATGAAATCGCTGCCCAGGGCACATTTTTATAGTCTTCTTACACATTATCTTTATTTTTTGGGGCCACACAGCTGGTGGCAGCCTGAAGAGCAAGGCTACAAACCACTCACATTATTGAAGTAGTAAGTCACACAGCTATGGCGCCAACACAAAAGACCTGAAGCATTTTTACAGCATAAGCAGAACATCTGTGACTCGACATTCATGAACCTCAATTATTCAGTATATGATATGAAGCAAATGAAGAATGAAAGCTAAAAACCAAGCTTAAACGAATAATAAAGAATCATAAAATATCCAGTAGGTATCATTTTCCGTACAGATATTACTTTAAATAGGAAATGTGTGCACAATTTACCGTAAGGGAGACTTTGGACACTGTCATATTTGTTTTTAGCAATTTGCACATTATTATTTTATTTGTATTTTATTTTAGACCAGGAACGCACAAGTTTTCAACTTGGGTGTTCAAGGGACCGACCTGACAATCAACTATAGTTGTACTGTAACCCACCATCTTTGATTAGTCACTTGTTTTGCAATAATATAATATGATAAACTATAGCCTATTTGTTATTTTATTTTAATTAATGGAATAACCCTATCCCTAACCCTATCCTGGAATAAATTCAGATCTGGGACGTCTGTAGAATCCTGAGGCAGCGGTCCTGAAGCCTGTGCATAAGAAGCCTGCTGCATGGAAACCCTGTTTGTCAAGCTGCCAATTGAGGCATCGAGCACTTTAGCCCTTATCAATTTTAATTACAAAAACACAGTACTGTGAGATCAACATTGAGATTTAAAATGTTCAGATATATAACAACAATCCATGTGCATTTCAGGATAATAAGAGCACATTATGTCATACTTACCATTTCTTTATCAGGGGAGGACACTTCCTCCATGCGGTCTTTCACATAGAGACAAGCATCTACGAATCCTCTGTCAACTTTCTCCCTAGAATCACAGAAAACATCATGGTATCAAACAGTTGTCCACTAGTGGGAAATTAAATAATATGTATATCACACTGAAGTATATTATGAGCACTCATAACATATTCATACTGCAAATTTACAAACAAAAATCACATGCACACACACACACACACACACACGTGTCAGAGATAAGACAGGTCTTAAATGATTGATTGGCCCCTGCGCTCTCACTAGAGCCCCTCTGGGACTGACCCTTTTGCACCCAGTCCAGTCCACACACTGACATACTTCAGTACACATTTGAGGCGAGTAGCAAACGCTATGGGCTGAAAACTAATGCAACATAATATTATGAGCTCAACTCAATACTTTAAAAAGGTTTATTATCACAATAGGTCCTTTTATTTAAACAATTGTGTGGATGTAAAACCATCTAACATGTGAATGTGTGTCCACAAGTCACATATTTCACATATTTTAAAACGCAGATTTATGAAGCATTTCCCCCACGGGAACTAGCCTGGGTTCAGTTATAGTGAACCAGAGCAACACTTCAGACATCCATGCACCACACAGGTGTGGCACACCAACATGCAGCACACACTTACACCTGGCCCCTGAGTATTAGGATCCATTTGAATTTCAAGTTTGTATGTTTCACCAGTTGGACAATTGTGGAGTTGATTTGTCTCAACTTGGTTTTGTCTCGACCTGGACATTTTCTGAAATGTTCTATTTTGCTTTATTCTCGAGTTGGCAACATAGTATCTGCTTTATTGTATCTTTCACTTGATCTTAGACCATAGTTCCTGCCAATATTCCAACTTCACAGATAATGGAATTTACCAGACTGTTACATATCAAAAATTAATAAAATGTTGTATTACAAAAAAAGGTAAAGTTTTTTGCATGAATCACTTATTTCAATTACCAAAATACAATAGATTTTTCCCCCCTCTCATGTTTTATAGAAGAGAATGTTCATCTTACCCATCTTCCTCAAGGACCTCATGCTCAGGGGTGACATCTAGCAGCCCCCTCTCCTCGCTCTCCTGCTTCTCCCCCGGTGCTCCGGCCTCTGCTCTGGCCTCTGCTCCGGCCTCTGCTCTGGCCTCTGCTCCGGCCTCTGCTCTGGCCTCTGCTCCGGCCTCTGCTAACGGTGTGGCTACTGTCCCCTCTGGCTCTGTCTGCGCTGATGGAGACTCCTCGTGGCTTTTCTCTTCAGGCTGCTTCTCTTTGTCCTTTTCTACTTCTGCTTCTAAACTGTCCTCTTCCTTTGACTTTTCATCTCCATCCGACTCCTCGCTGGATGTTGTCTCATAGCTGGAAGGAAACACAATTATGCAGCTACAGTATTACATCATTCAATAAGCACAAGGTTTACTTGCAGGCACCAGTAATACTTTTGTGGACATGTATATTGCATCATACTGTAACATATTTGCACATAGTTGCCTAACAATTAACAATAGTAAAGAAGAAGTAACAGGCGGGACTTCTGTTACTTCTACTTTACAATTAACTTCTTCTTGTACTTCTTCTTTACAATTAACAATAGTAAAGAAGAAGTAACAGAAGGGACCAATGCTCTGACGAAGACTCTGGTCAAAACGTGTCGGTCTCATTAAAAAGAACACCGTTCTCAGAGTGCCTCCTTCTCAATTTTTTCTTTTGCACTGCATTTGTATTTCAAGTTCAAAATTTGTTTTTTCCTACAATACAAAACTGACTTTCTTGAAGTCTCAAAATGTTGTGGAAGTTCTCAGATCTTTTGAAAAAAAGTAAAACAATTCTCAACCCAATAAGTAAACAAAAAAACAATAAGGACATCAGCAGTTTATCAGAAAGACCATGGAGAGAACCTAAGCTGAAGATCAAGCTGATAAAAAACTAAACAGAAACAGACCATTCTCTGCTGAAATCCACAACACGTGAACATGTACTGTATGTATCTTTTCAGAGCCAAAATCAGAATCTGAATATTTTTTATTGCCATGTAAGTAACAGGCAGTCACAGACTAGGAAATTGCTTTGGCTCGGTGCAACAGTCAGAAAAGTGAGGTAAAGAAAAAAATAGGCATAATAAAAATCAGCATACACTTCTAAGGTAAAACATTTAAAACAGAATTATCACAATTAGAATTACTATATACTATGTAATACTATTTATTAGACATCCAAAATTCCCACCTAAATAGTTAAACATACAAACACACTGTATATGCATTTTCGCTAAAGACAAAAAAAATCAATATTGGACAAAAGCAAGCCTTAGATGATTATATAAAAATGGGAGTTTTCCGGAATTAATGACTCTCTATGAAGGATCAGATAAGCCTAATAATAAATATCATTGATCAATTTGTAGCTGCAGACATTCGCAGACAGGGTGGGACATTCTCAGGAATTCTCATGGAAGCTCAAGAGAGAAAGGAGATAAAAGTTGATGAGGCAAAAAGTTCAAACACACACTTTCTGGGCAGATGTATGAAAATAGCCAGAGAAGTATTGTTCCCAAGATGTGTCTGTCTCATTAGAAAGTCTGTGCTTAGATTAAAATAATACGTGGGAGTTTATTTGGACTGTGCAGATTGCATTGGAATTTATTTGCTGCACACATAGACTACAAGAGATGCAAATACTCTGAATCAAGTAAAGGGGGGGTGGGGTTTAATTAATGATGATGTCTTGAAAAAAGCAGCAGGGTTAGGTGTTGTGGGTCGGCTCATTTCAATGGTGAGTGATATGTTGTTATGTTGGTCTCCAGAGGTCTATTTAAGCGCATTTAAAAAGAGATTGCCTGTAATTGGTGTTTTATATCTTTGTTTGAACAGGGACAGTGTACAATGTTTGGTTGACTATCCCCTTTTCAGAAAAGCAGCCCAAAAACCACAATGATTCCACCCCCATGCTTCACAGAGGTCATGTAGGTCTTGGGATGCAACTCTGTCTTCTTCCGCCTCTAAAGACAACTACAGCATTTTAACCAAAAAATGTTATTTTGGTGTCATCTAAATTTACAGGATTTTCCCAGGCCTCTTCTGGATCATACAAATGGTCAGTGGAAAATTTGAGACAGGCCTGGACAAGAATCAGAATGAGTTTATTGCTATGTGAGTAAGTGTGTGCATCCCAAAAATACCCCAGTCACTGTGAAGCATGGGGATGGGAACATTAAGGTTAGGGGTTGCTTTATCACGAATGGGGAAAGGAAGACTGATCCTTATCAGGGCCATGTATTATGGGATTTTGGGGCTGTTCATCAGTGACAGTATTGAAGGCGAAACATGGCTGGGTCTTCCAGTGTGACAATGTTCCCACACACCTAAATGAAGGAGTGGCTCAAAAAGAAATATCATCGTCCTGAAGTGACCGAGCCAGTCTCCAAAACTCAACCCAATTGAACATCTGAGGAGGGAGTTGAAAGGGATTTGATAGTCTCAACCTGGAAACCTCACACCTCAAGTGAAGATATTCATGGGAAAAATGGTCCAAAATACCAGCTCGTGTGTGTGTAAACCTGATTTATACACACACACACACACACACACACACACACACCTCTGCCATTGTCAACAAAGGTAACATTACACAAGTGTTGAGTTGAACTTTTGTAATTGGTCAACAACCTTTTTCCATAACCATTATAAAAAATGAATTGCCAACTTTATTTGTCCCACTTACTCACACAATCAGTAACCGCCATCAGTTTCTTTCATACCCCAGTTAAAGAAAGTAAGTATTCTTTATTAATACAGCAGATTTCCCCCAAAGCATTTGTACACAATGGGGCAGTACAACACATCTCTTACATCAGCCATTCCCAAACTCAGTAACACCGAGGCCCCCTTAAAAATCTGACGGGTCTGCGTGGCCCCCCAAAATAATAACCAAGAAGACAACATTAAGAATAGGCTCTTCTGGTTATTTTATTTTGGGGAAATAGCCTCTGCTACAAACATTGTAATACAAAAATGATTACAGTGGATTATTCAAGTCAAATAATGAACACAAATATGTTAATATTACAAACAAAACATTATAAATTTAACATTAAATAATTATATATATATATATTTTTTTTTTATGACCTCCCGCGGCCCCCCTGCAGTACCCACGCGGCCCACCAGGGGGCCGCGGACCCCACTTTGGGAGACACTGTCTTACATGAATTAACTATAGGTAATAATCCCTGTTCAAACTTCAAAAGCATGAATGACAGAATGGTAAAAAGAGAATTGGATCCTATGAGATGAGAAACATGCAGAAACAACTCACTGACTATTCCAGTCAAAAGCTATTTAGATGCTGAGGATGACATTTTAATATTATGACAATTAAAGCAAACCATAATTGATCAAATAATAGGATCCCTTTCGAGCTGAGTAAACGTGTACAGTGGAGTATGAAGGCATGCAAAATAAATTGTTTTTCCAGATGCAGTTTCATTGAAAACCAGTTATAATCACATCATCATTGTGGTTGAGAAAATGTGGGAGATAATATAATCTATATTATACTCCACTTTATATTAGGCTTTTGATTCAAATTGACATAAGTTACTATCATTTTAATATGAATATAAGAAAATTAAAGTGGAGGTATTTTTAATTAAGGAGCCAACTGTCTTTCAGAATGAATGGTTAGAATCAGTGTTGCATAAACAAACATGTGTTGAATCGCACTAACTCAGAGTCGTGTTTATGTTCATGTAATGAATGTTGAATACAAGGAAATCAAATCGACCAGCCCAATTTTGAACAATAGCTTAATATAAATGACGCGTGACAGTATTTGTTTAGGCTGTATGAGTATTTGAAAAACTGCATGACTAATTTTGATGCTGTCCCCGGCTTTAGGCTTAACAGACAGAAAACAGGAGTACATTTGAAACCATAAGGAACATAACTATGCAAGGAAAATCAATGTACTGTGTAGCTAGTTCCTAGATTTGGCTAACAGTTTGGCTTCTTCACCAGTTTTCACATGCATGTATTTTTGTCACATCTTTAAATCTGTTTTTTTTATTGGTAAAAGATGACCACAATGTATGAAACAGATCAAATGTTATCTAGTACGATAAAGTATATTGTGGTCTGACTTGTTCACAAAATGTTACTTAGACTTTTCTGTTGGGAAAAACCAAATGTATTCATAAAACAAATATTGTGGTCCAGCCTACACAAACGAAACATATATATATAATTATTTATTCAGACATATCCACTATATCTTTCTGCCTAAGTAAACACGGTCTGCTCTTTACTCAACCTTTTCATGCATATAGGCAAACATAACCTTGACAGTGCACCAATACTTCATTATTGGTCCAGGAGAGGAGTTTTTAGGTTGTGTTTACAGATCATTTTAAAGAAGGGAGGAAGGAACAGACCTCACAGCAGAGGGGAGCAGGTGGTAAAACAGTCCAGCTCAGGAATTTGCAGACAGTTGACACAAGCTGACTTTTATGGTGTTGATTTCCTTTATTTAAGTTAAACCGAACAATAGGCTTCCTTAGGCTTCCCTAAACAGCACTACATCTGGGATCTAAGATGAGTGTTTTGAAGCTGGGTGTGCTGGGTATTCTGTGTAAATGCATACATAAGTTTCATGTATGCATTACAGGGTCCTCTTCACTGACCATTTAAAAGATATGTAACTTGTAGCATTGTGGTTAGAATGGTTCAAATATGAAAAGAAAAGTCAAATGGATTGAGTGGGGGATTAAGAAGAGATAAAGGACTAATACAGCTGAGGTTATGGACATAAGTCAATGTGTGTTTTAAAAGCATAAAAGCCTTAAATGTTCTTAACATGTGGAGACTTGACTGTGAGTTGTGGCCTCCCAAATAACTTTCATAAAAATATATGTATTTAGTAACAATGAAAACAAAAACATAATAATAATTAGGAGCATTACATTAAAAGAGGTAGAGAGATGTGTTTATGTGAGCAAATATTAGGGCTGGATGGAGATTATGTTTTTGATGAGGGAGAAACTACCACTTTAAACTTTCTTCTGTAGCTTTATTACTTATTGCACTTTTTTAAATTAGGAGTATAACACGCTCAGAAATGAATAAAGAATCAAATAAATTGCAGTAACCAGAAGAATAACCTCTGGGCTTTTATACGTGAACATATTTCATATATGCTTTGTTAAGTCTCAGGGTCACAGGTCTCTCTGACGTCATGTCATGTTATTTTCTTTCCCTTTATTGTTCTATTTCGGGGGGTGGCTATCAGAGCTGCCACCCAATTCACAAAGCACTAGGTCCCCGGCCTCTCTGTCATTGAAGATACAGCCATGGGCTTCAGACAAA